GCACGCGTGCCGGAGCGTTCCGCGCACGCATCCTCGTCTGTACACGCGCGAGTTTTCCACGACGATTCGCGTAATCGATCAGTTTTGCCTGTATTTAATTTCGAAGACTTTTGTTCGATTCGCTCACTTTGACTCGCGCTCAATTTGCAGAGACGCATGATAAAACTACGTATACAGTTAATACATAATATATTAATATAGAAAAAAATAGAACGACATAGATACATGATGATAATATACGATGTGTTTAAGAATATTTTAAGTAACATATCCTTTTGGTTTTTACTATTATTTTTTTATTGAAATATTTTGCCTGTATTTAATTTCGAAGACTTTTGTTCGATTCGCTCACTTTGACTCGCGCTCAATTTGCAGAGACGCATGATAAAACTACGTGTACAGTTAATACATAATATATTAATATAGAAAAAAATAAAACGACATAGATACATGATGATAATATACGATGTGTTTAAGAATATTTTAATTAACATATCCTTTTGGTTTTTACTATTATTTTTTTATTGAAATATTTTGCCTGTATTTAATTTCGAAGACTTTTGTTCGATTCGCTCACTTTGACTCGCGCTCAATTTGCAGAGACGCATGATAAAACTATGTACAGTTAATACATAATATATTAATATACAAAAAAATAGAACGACATAGATAGATGATGGTAATATACGATGTGTTTAAGAATATTTTAATTAACATATGCTTTTGGTTTTTACTATTATTTTTTTATTCAAATATTTTGCCTGTATTTAATTTCGAAGACTTTTGTTCGATTCGCTCACTTTGACTCGCGCTCAATTTGCAGAGACGCATGATAAAACTACGTGTACAGTTAATACATAATATATTAATATACAAAAAAATAGAACGACATAGATACATGATGATAATGTACGATGTGTTTAAGAATATTTTAATTAACATATGCTTTTGGTTTTTACTATTATTTTTTTATTCAAATATTTTGCCTGTATTTAATTTCGAAGACTTTTGTTCGATTCGCTCACTTTGACTCGCGCTCAATTTGCAGAGACGCATGATAAAACTACGTGTACAGTTAATACATAATATATTAATATAGAAAAAAATAGAACGACATAGATACATGATGATAATATACGATGTGTTTAAGAATATTTTAATTAACATATGCTTTTGGTTTTTACTATTATTTTTTTATTGAGATATGCAGCTGCGCGAATCAACGTTGACAGTATCATTAGATATTCCAAGTTCTTGCGCGATCATTTTTTTGCTCTTGAATGATTCATGAGAATATACTCGTCTCGCAATATAAGCAACTATGTATACACTCTTATGCAGTTATAATTATGCTCGACAAAAAAAGATGCGAGATAAAAGCATCATCATATTGAAAGCACTTCTGCGTAAAACGCTCTCGTCGTTGTAAAGAAGACAAGAGTAATCGAGTATTTGAAAGCACAGAAATTCGGCTATTTTAAAACTCGAGACAATGGTCTACAGCGATCAGAAAAAGATTAGCTTAATTGCACCTCTTTCCTTCTCTTTCGTCTCGGATCAGTCACAGAAAGAAATAAGTAATCTTCAAAATAAATCGACGAAAAAAAATTGCAGGCAAGAAATAGCCAAGAAATATTCACGAATCTGAACAAATCTTATGTCTGATGCAGTTGAAAGAAGAGGAGACGTAAACAGAGAAAGAGAGAGAGAAAAAAAAAGAAAAAGAGAATAAGGGAAAGGAAAGGGTCGGTAGCGGGAGGAGATCGAGAGAAAAGACGGAATAAAGAAAAAGAAAAAGAAAGAGAGATGGAGATGGAGATTTAAGACAAGGGCGAAAGAGAGGATGGGGAGTGAGAGGGCCGTGACTCGCCCGTGACATCGCGATTACGCTCGCACACCTGTGCTCGACTCAACTTCGACTTAAGAATGCCACTTACTTTACTAGTCGTCACGTGCTGCGAGAGAAGCCGAAGAGCCACGCGTCCGCGCACTCTCTCCTCCATAAGACGTACCAAATGCAGTTTTCCCTCTATTATATCGACAATCCTCTCCTTTCGCAATATTTCCTCGACTCTCGATTTCACTAGTTTGCCTCGCGAATGACGGGATTTAATAAAATGTCAAGTCGGGCGCCGTTTCATGATGAACTTTCTTCTTATGCGGTAAGATTAAATGGGGCTTTTTAGCGACAACTCGATAGCTGCAAAAAAATCGGACATCTTCATTCGTCTTCCACCGCTTAAGGCAATTATAATTATAAATGTGCGTAATGCATTTTGTCGATTTATCAATAGTCTTTCTTGTTTCGAAACGTTTTTAACTACTAACACAGATATTCTTCGCTGTTGCATTTACTCAAAAAATGAATAACGAATAGCCAGCCAAATAGAAAAATTTTAATACACGTTTATAATTTAAAATTAGATTGAACTTTGTTCGATCATTTTCCTTTATGATTTTATAATACATTGCTGTTTGTGGAAATGGCAACACAGCTAATATCATTATTCCTTCTTGGTGTTGCAATTTTCACAAACAGCAGTATATTTTATATAATATTAATTTGACGAATTATTCTATATATGTATGTATATAATCACAAGTTATACACTTTAATTTAAAGTACTAATTTTATAAATCTTGCCTTCCTTCCTGTTTATTTCAAAATATACAGAACGTTGTTATTCAAGATACAATTCATTGTACTTTCATAATATAGAATTTGTAATGCGATAGTGAAATCGACTGTTCAAATCTAGAGCTCTCTTGCATCGCGACATTTCCTATTCTAAGATCTGGACATTTTAAATTATTGCAAACGACTGTTTTTCATATCGGTGTGAGAGTTAAATTAAATTTATTTTGGCCTCGATGAATGAAACACTCATTATTAACTGTGGTAATGCATATTCCACTTGCGTTGTCTCGACACGACGACTTCGCGATTATTATACAAATTATTATTATATAAATATGTGTGCACCACCTTCACGCTTAAAGTAGACGCGGAATAGATTATAGTAGAATTTTTATGCATATTGATGAAGTCCAACTCCCGTCCCCTGATTCGAGATCGGATCCGAGATCTTATTGCTCCTTGTTAGCGAACACCGTGGCTAACATGTGATGTGCATAATCAGACAAATGTTCACTCTCGCTCGCGTGGACCGATACGTGCAATTTCATTCAACTGTCGGGAATACTTTTTACCGCCAGGATCTTTACGGTTCCATAACTTCCATATTACGCGCAAATACCATTTCCGCGAACGCCGCAATTTCGAAAACATATACTTTGATGTGAGAGTGATAGTTACAGTTTGATACTTCCATATATTTTAGTATATTAAAGATAATCATCGTAAGAATAAACATTTTTGCAAGAAACGTTTATAATCTGCAAGTTGCATATCGCGTTTATATATCGAACGTCCGATATTTTATTAATCTGATTTCACATTATCTGTTGTCATTGAAAGTGCATCCCCGATTATGTCAATAGAATCACAATGTGATAAATATAGTGATTTATTACAGTATAATTTAAAGCTCATCAATTATAATCTACGAGGTTTTGCTAATAGCTATAATTGTCGGTTTTAAAACCTTAATTACTATTTATGTAATCGTTAAAAAAATAAATCGTAATTATTGCATTATGTATGATTAATTAACATAGTCCTGTCTATCTTATAACAGCGACTTTTTTCGCGTCAAAAATAAAATCCGAGCCGTGTATAATGATTAATGACGATTTCGAAAAACCGCGACAGGACGAGATCCACGACTCGTAGAATTAAATGTTTTCAGAATTTTTCGCGAATGAAACGTCACGGAAATTAATGCTTTAGCTTCGTCATTTAACCAGTAAAATATATTGTGAATTTTGATCCATTTTTTTCATTTTGCGAAAGACGAGAAGACAAAAAGAGGAGTAATAATGAAGGATTTCTCCGAACGAAGTTGGCGCATGCCACAACAAGTGTGCCTAGCACGTTTGCTATTGGATTACAAACCTGACACTCTTCTTGCATCGGTTTAGTGTTACCGTGCGTTATGCGACATATTACTCGCCGTAGAAGCCCTAAGTCCTCAAGTCACAATAAACGCACATTCTTGACGTCGCGCGTTTGTTCGCACATGAACCTGGAAACACGAGGGCGAGCCCGACGAATTAATCTGACACTCCGATGTGTGTGTGTGTGTGCGCGCGCACGTCCCTTCTTTCTGCTTCATCGGCACGTTAATTAAGGGCAGCCCTAAAGCGGAATTAAAAAATAACACGTCGACATACTCGATGCGATGATGCGTGACAGAGCGACTACTTTATGGTCGCGGCGATAATTGAGAAATTTCTTTCATTACGTCGAAATGACAAACGAGGAAACTCGAATAAACTGAAAGCTCTGTTTTACTATTCCAGAAACAATATCTATTGTATCGAGACGTAAAATAAAAAATTACAAGGTGAAAAAAATATGCAATTGTTGGGAGATTAATATCATATTTATTATACTATATAAAAATATCTATACATAATAATCTTTCCAAAATTTATAAAATTATTCTCTATAAAATATCTGTTTATTGTAAAGATTGAATATGAGTATCGGTGCGTACAATAATAATTTTTTGAGATATTAATTATTTTGCTTATGAATATCTCGCATCGCGATTAATAAGTGGATCGAGTGATTTAAATAATGTATAGAACGGTGTCGCATATTAATATAATTAATTTAAATTAATCTGAACATTTTCAGCGATTTTATTATATAATTTTATAATATAATACATTTCATATTTTACATTATGTTTATACGTATTTTATAATGAAGAAAGTATTAACTGTAAAAAAATTGATTGGTATTCGTGGATACTCGCTTTGGAATATTTTTTGTTGACGAAATTTTCTTATTATATACACCTTAATAATATATTTTAAGATACCAATTATTTTGAATGCTGCTATAATTTGGCTCTTGTATTTGTATGTTACAGAGAGAGAAAAAGAACTCCGCCGCAACATCAACCGGTGAGCGATGAAGTTTTATTTCACAAAAAAGACGCCAAGTACATATTATATTATTATAAATCTGTATATCTTAATTATTTATAAATTTTTCCCCTTCGCCTACAATTGTTTAGATATTTTTCTGTACACACTTGGCGTATTTTTATGTCTCTTTTTAGAAAGTTATTATTTACTGTCATGCATATATACGCACAACCGTTTGTTGTAAAGTCTCGACAGCAAACTATAGACGTCCACGTGAGTACAATATAAAAATGATAATCATATATAGCTTCGGATAATTTCAACATCGCGTGCTTTAGTCGTGGTACGGAGAGTCGAGTGTACGGTTAGACCAATTCGAAATCAAAAATTGTCCGTATATTATTACGTCAGCCTCTCTCCCTTTCAGGCGCGACCAACGCGCCGCTTTATTTCACGGTTGTTGCTGCATTATTTCAACGAGTTTAATGCCAGCATCCATACAATAACTGGTTCGCCGCGCGTTACGTAATTGCGCGGCAATAAGATAAGAAATCCCGTAGGGCAGTAAAACTGGTAACGCTCCCGATCGCTTTTAGTTTTCCGCCGGGTTTCCGATCGCGGGCACGCGCACTCGTTATATACCTCGCGAGAGCACGCTCGATTTCTCGCGCGAGAAGGCGCAGCTACGGACCGCTATCAGATCACGCTAACTGTGTCAGTTCGTAAATGGATAATGGATAGTAGTAGTCTAGCGGTATATACACACAAGAGATTCTGAGGCGCGACTATATCTTGTAGGAGAAGCGGAATAAACGAGGCGAACTTATCAATCGAGAGATTCGAGAAAGTGGACATAAATACGGCAGGAAATATCAACCGTATTACATGTACTGCGATAGAAAATTATACACGTATCACATTTTCCGTAATTTGATAAAATCGAATCTATATACGCGAATTACTACTACCGCGGATATAATTACAGTCTTGTCATTGTGATATTGGCGGGGCTGTATATTAAAAATCGAAAAATAAATATAAATATCTGACAACGCTTTTGAAAGCGTCATTGAATTTCTTTCGCTATTGCTGCAACTTGTCAATGTTGCTGCGCAGTTACGAGACGCGGTTTATAAGCGCGCGCGCGCTCGATAATTGATATTTTCTCTTTCTCTTTTTCTCGAGACCTCTCGCCTCATTGTGCGCGCGTTGTCAAAATGATCCGAATTGTCAGTGGTGAAGAGAGACCGGGCTTGTCCAGAATCGGCTCCAATAAAGTCAATACGGACAATAGCACGATAAGTAGATAATAATGCATAATATAATAAGAGAGCACCCGGTCGGGTGCGTTCCGTGAGCGATGCAGTGTGTTGGTAGCACGCGCCACATTGAGCCGCCAATTCAACTGGTTGAGCAGCCTTATTTAACGACTCCTTTCTACGCGAGCGCGAGACTCGACACACAATACTGTTTCTTAAATTTTATCGTTAGTCGTTAAGCGGCGGTATTGTTGAATTTATGTAACGCGCTCGTGAGCCAAAGGCCACGACGTTGGTTCTCATTTAGACCACCGAAATAACTGAATTAAGACTTGAACGCGCAAGTTTCTTTCATTATCTGTATATTATTCGAAATTACTACCGACCCTAGATGTTTTGAGAAAAAATGTTGTTTCAAAAAAAGGCGATCACACATTAAAATATTAGGTGATAAAATTAATTAGCGAGCACGCGTGTGCACCTTTTCAATGCTCGCGATTCTGTGCAACAATAGCAGGTTGGTTTAATGGAAGAAAAAAATGGCCTCTCGTTTAATCTACTTGTACGCGATAAATGCGCTGGCTCGGATTGATCGTTTCGCTTGGGATACTTTCATTTGAAATCGCATAATGAAAACGTACAGACCTTTTCACTCCGCGTTGGCGCATATACGCGCCAACGAGGGGGTATTAAATTTTCATCCCATCAATTTTTCATCGGACACAGCACGCGGGACCGTGCCAATGCGTCGATACTTCTAGTTACATCTCTCGGGTCGGCGCGTTAACGAATAAACTTTATGAGCGCACATTGAACGGATCATGCACTCTTTTACACGAGCGCTCGCTCTGCGCGATGCAACGCGTACGCGGTTCCAAAAAAGAGCGAGAGAGAGAAAAATAAAGAGAGAGGGAGAGTTAAATCAGTGAGAGAATATTCCCCACTCGTAACACCGGGGCAGAGAGATTACACCTCGGTATCGCGTAAAGTACTGCATTATTGACGATCCCGGTAAAGTTCGGAGGATACACGCACGCATCGGCTGGTTAAGTCACCTATGCTTTAACACCCCATAACTCATCGACCCCATGCATACATACGTCGTTTAAATTACCGAGAGGTGAGGGCAGAGCAGCGCAATATACGCTCGCAATGGCTCTCTTTCTCTCTCTCTATCTATCTATTTCTCTCTTACCCTCCGCACCTTCTAGTCTTTACCCATAAACACGAGCTGCGTATCGCTTTACCCATTATAGAATCCAGCGAGTTTCCGTCTCGCTGGAGCTGCGTGCAAAACAACCCCCTTCTGACGTCGCGAACCGATTTTCACGGGCTTTATTATTCTCGCGAATAGAGAGTAATACATAAAGTAATATACATAGTAGTACAATAAACAGCTCTTGAAAACTTTATCCATAAATTGTCGTCCAATTCTTATTCGAGGAAAACAGCAAAAGTTAAATATTCATACGCAAATTACAAATTATTTAAATTTTATTACACATCGTGCAGGTGATAAATTATTTTCTGGAATACATATCAACGCTTTACCCGCAAATATTTCTCGCGAGAAGCGCATTAACCCATTCTGTTTGTAAGGCAAAAAGCATGGATAAACATTTGGAATTTCGCGAGATGCGGGGAAGTAAACACCGTCTTTCTAGTAGCACCTGACACCTATCACTGTCTATTCAACGGTTTGACACCCAGATGTCGCGTGTTAATTCGTAGTCGAGTTTTCTCCGGTAAATTGTTTGTGTAAAGACGTCTGTTTGCGCGCGATACGTGTGCGAAACGTGCTACTATGAATACCATAATTCAGACATATATTCTCATGTCCGTGAATATATATACACGTTCTACACACTGTTTTCGATTTAATTTCAAGCTGCAGAGTGTTACTCCAGAGTGTAACATCAGAGTTAATAGTATTTAAAAAAATATTTTATAAAGTATATCAAACGAGAGAAGAAGAGAAGAAGGAAAGAGAAAATAAAAAAACTGGTATGTTACATCGCCGTATAAAATTCGTAAAATGTGTGCGAGGTGTGCAATCGACCGTTGTATTAAATCGTCGATAAAGGGGAACGACAATTCTCGAGAGAAAATAATTGTAGCCGTATAATTTTCGTCCCATAATTAAGCGACGAATAATTAAATTCGAAGCGGGCCCGAGGCAAACCCGATGCTGGGTTGCCTTCTTTTTTTGTTGTATGCGGGCGAGAACCGGCAGCGAAAAATCTGACCTTTCAGAAAGAGACAGCGAACTCAGTCAGAAGGTAAAGTAAAACAGAGCTGGAGGAAAGGAGAAGAAGAAGGAGATGAACAAAAAACACGGAAACGAATAGGAGAGCACTGGTACATGCAGGGAGAGGAGGACGAGAGAAAAGCATCGAGCAGGTAAAAACGAGAAAGAGTACAATTACCCACTGGCAGTGGAAAATAAACTAAAAGAGGAAAGAGGGCCAAAGGTAGAGATGCGCGAACAATCCAGAGAAGAATAAGAGAGAAAGAGAGAGAGGGACGAGAAAAAAAGGGAGAAAAAAGAAGAAGAAGCAGAACGAGAGGAAAGACCGAGAAGCGAACGACGGAATAGGAGAAATGCTGTGACGTGTATGCTTCACCGAGCAAGAGAGACGGAGGATAAAACCAGAGAAGAACGTCCAACGAGATAGGTGAATACAGAGAGAAAGAGGGAGACCGCAAAAAGAATCTTGAGCGCTAGATGAACAAAGAGGGACGAGAAAGCGAAGAGAAAGAGAGAAAAGAAAACGCATTGAGATGCGAGGGAGGGAGAGAAGGAGATGCAGAGATTACCATATAATGGTGCCCCGAGGGCGCATAAGCTGCGCCACAACGTAATTTCTTCGTCCCTTTTCAACGAACGGTAGCAACGCGCTGCGCACACGTTCTATCTCCACTCGTCTTCGTCGTTCCTCGACGAGCTTGCTCGCCTCCTCTCTTATACTCTCTTGCGCGATGCAGTCTTTTAAGCGAGCCCCACCAAACCGCGTCCTCCCCGAGAGAACTTGTTGCGAGCGTTGCGTTGTCAAGTCGGTCTTAAATGTAATCCACCTACTTATCGAGTCGATAGTCCTTACTCGATTCCCGTTTCACGAATCGAGATATCATTTCTTCGGTGCGAACGCGCGTTGCCGCGCGCTGTCAATCATCATTTCTCTATTACGCGCGATACACATCATCCGTGACTCTCGTATTTGCATTCGCGATTAGACAAGACCTAGTCTTCGCCAGCGAGGCCGCTCCGGTGGATATCAGTTCCTTCGGATTATCGTGTCGACGGGATTTAATGCGTAGTATCTTGCCCTCTTGCTCCCTCCTGTAAAACCGAATATATTGCATACGCGAACCAGCTTATCTCAAAACTGGCGCATATATAAACCTCTAGTAGTTGGAAATGTTATGAATTTCAATGAGAAACGAGGATATAAGGCGACGCGACGCGTTGCTGCGGCGTATCAATTTTGGCAAGATTTTTCAGCTTATTTAAATCGACTTTACACCGGTCTCTCGAAATAAACTCGTAGATTTAAAATCTCGGAGCGAAGTCTTTTCTCTTTCTTTCTTTTTTTTTACATGTCACTATCTTTATGATTTATTTCAGATGCGTGCACAATTTTTTAATGCAGTAAAAATGATATTAAAAAGCAGCTTCCACAGATTTAAGCTTGCTCTTCTCTAATGCTTCTCTAATTATTATTTAAATGAAAAAAGAAACAAATTCTCTCTTAATTTCTCTTTATCTTTTTTTATTTAAATA